CCCCCTCCCATAGTGGATTATCTTCTCCCCTACCTTTAGTGGCCTCTCCTCTCCCCCACCCTTAGTGGTCTCTTCTCATCCCCCCTTCCCTAGATGTCCGCTTCCCTCCTGCCGATCCCTCATATTTTTCGCCCCCCCCTTCCGCCCGGGCTGGTGCACCCTAATGGACGTGCAGGCCTGGACAGAGGCTCTCTATAGAGCGCTTAGGTGGCTGCAGCATTTGAGGGGCCGGCGCTCCTGGTGACGCGTCTTTCCTAAGGGGCGCCTTATGCAACTGCCTAAGTCGCCTATAGGATGCGCCGGCCCTGGTTATTGTGTCTTTCCAGGGTCCAGCTTCCAGTAGGTTGACCTCTCCAAATTCCAGAGAGCAGGAACAGGAACAGCTCTTAGCAGAGCTTAGTGATTATACCCTGGGGAGTATAGTGATTATAGCAATGCCCAGAGTGTAGTTTCTCCAGTCCCCCAAACATGAGCCAAAACTGCATGAAGGTACAAGATGATCTGATCCTTTAATGGCACATACTCTGCTTTTATACAATTCTCACCTGCAAGGGAGAGGCCCACAGACAATTATACATTACCCAATCACACAATGGTTACATCCCACACATCTCCTCCCCTTGGCCTGTGAGGTAATCCAATTATCCATACATTTTAAAACACACTTTTTACCCAACTTTCATAACTCCAAAACTATACATCCAATATTCATATTATTTACTTACATGTTATTAATCAGCACACTTTAAATATAAACATAACCAAAAATCAGACAATTCCATCCAGGGGTTAAAAAGTTAGCTGGAGGTCCCTTTATGACCGACCGCAAGCACATTTTCATGCCCAAAACAGTTACATAGATTTGGGCTGTGTGGTCGGTCTAGTCTGAGCTGAAAAAACGACTAAGTCCCATCGCCGAATGGGACTTAGTCTCTGCGCCTGCAAAATCAGTATGGGAGAAGGTAGAGCTCAGCGGTGTTCGCGGAAATGTGTAGCCGATTTTAGTTCCATGAATTTGGCTACACATACCGCTGACCTCATTCGCATTAACAAAGATGGCCACCGCCACGTGTTCGGCAAATGAAAGAAAGGCCACCCAGCATTGTCAATTAAGCTGCGGTTAACCACAGCTTCTGGGAGGTAAATTGCCTGCACACTTCCACTTCTGGGTGGTCTGCCTGTGTGGTACTTGGTTCAGTAAGCCCCATTTACTGAACCAAGTGGGAAATAGACGCCTGAACCAAGAGTTTTAACCAGGTCTGGGGACACAGGGGACACCGTCTTAAAGGGGCAGTGTCCCAAACCAGTCTGGGGACACCGTCTTAAAGGGGCAGTGTCCCAAACAAGTCTGGGGACACCGTCTTAAAGGGGCAGTGTCCCAATTTTCCCTATGCCCCAAAAAGGTGCTTAAAGGGCCAGCACCAGTCCCATAACCCACAAGGCAGGTCTTAAAGGGCCAGCAGCAGCACAATATAAATCCATTAGCACAAATAAGGTTTGTTAAGTGCCATACAACCCAGGGCCGTAGTCATGAGGCAGGAGGCTGGCACTCAGGCTCCTCCAACAGCCAGGGGCAAATGGCAACTCGTCACCTAAAAATCTAGTGACAGCCTTCCTTAGTGGTCTCTCCTCTTCTCCTCTCCCCTTTCCATTAGTGGTCTCTCCTTTGCTTCCTCCCCCTTAGTGGTCTCTGCTCTCCTATGCCCCCCACCCCCACTAGTCTCTCCTCCCCCCTTTCCATTAATCGTTTCTCATATCCCCCCCTTTACATTAGTGGTCTCTCCCCTACTCCCCCCTTTCCATTAGTGGTCTTTCCTCTCCCCCCCCCAGTGGTCTATCTTCCCCCTTGTTGTCTCTCCCCTCCCACTCATAGTAATCTCTCCTCTCCCCTCCCACTCTTAGTAGTCTCCCCTGCCCCTCCCATAGTGGATTATCTTCTCCCCTACCTTTAGTGGCCTCTCCTCTCCCCCACCCTTAGTGGTCTCTTCTCATCCCCCCTTCCCTAGATGTCCGCTTCCCTCCTGCCGATCCCTCATATTTTTCGCCCCCCCTTCCGCCCGGGCTGGTGCACCCTAATGGATGTGCAGGCCTGGACAGAGGCTCTCTATAGAGCGCTTAGGTGGCTGCAGCATTTGAGGGGCCGGCACTCCTGGTGGCGCGTCTTTCCTAAGGGGTGCCTTATGCAACTGCCTAAGTCGCCTATAGGATGCGACGGCCCTGGTTATTGTGTCTTTCTTGCATGTAATTGTTAGCTAAGGAAGCCACATAATCACATTAGCTGACCATTTACAATACCCTTCATGTTTATCAGTCATATAGTAAAATGACAGAGGCAACCCTGTTCTGACAGACTGAATTGTTCCCATGCCTCCCTTGGTACAGATTAGCTGGCCTCAAATTAACTGTACCCATATCATGGTATATCATCTGTAAAACTTGATAGCAAGTTTGTATCTGTACATATCGTTTCTGTTTTTTTTGTTATACCTGCATCTTTTCATTGAAAGGTTTTGGTATTGCTACGTCCCAGTCATTATTCTCATTATACCATGTCTCAGTAATAGCGACTAAATCTACAATATCAGTTGCCATTATTGCCACAAGTTCATGGATCTTATTCCCTAAACTGCGAGCATTTGTAGACATGACTCTAAGCTTATCATTTTTTTAACACACTTTTTTAACACACTTGTAACCGCCAATAGTCAACAATTAAGTTCACTGACAGCAAGGCAGTGCCAGTTTCCTAAAGAGAAAAAAATTCTAGAGGTCACACAACAGTGTGACAGGCGTAATTAATACAGTTACTTCACTGTCGCAAAAAAGTGTGATTTTTTAAACCAACAATGTAACAGTAGTATTTAACGGTTTTATTGGACTGCAAGAAATGCACTGCAGGCCGCAAATGTACTATTTAGCACCAAAAAAATTTGAATTTTTCAAAGTGCGATGTAACCACAGTATTTGACGGTTCTATTTGACTCTCAGATATGAAGTGCACCATAGGCAGCAAATGTACTATTTAACACAACATTTTTTAGAATTTTTTAAAGTGAGATGTAACCACAGTATTTGACTGTTATAGTTGACTCTCAGATATGAAGTGCACCTCCCAAATTTACTTTTTAGCACCAGAAAAATGTGAATTTGTCAAACTGCAATGTCACAGCAGTGTTTAAAAATGCCTAGATGTTGCCCACTGAGCTACCAGAACAGGATTAAAGTAAATTGCCTGGCACACATGCAGTTGCAAGTGCCCGCCTAACAAACAGACTGATTGCTTATTTCTCTGTGGCACTGGGCTCAGGGCAGGGTACAAAAATGTAGTATAGCACCCACAAAAATAATCGCTGTAGTTTGCAGATTCAACACCAGAATTATTTCCTAATCTGTCCCTCACAGCTGCAGCATCCTCTCCCTACACTAATAAGAGCTCAGGTGACGTGCGGCGCTACGCGACTCCAGCTTATATAGAGGATGGGTCACATGTTGCACTGGCCAATCACAGCCATGCCATTAGTAGGTATGGCTGTGATGGCTTCTAAGGACACACAAGTCAAACGCTTGTTGATTGGCTGACCTGCAGCTTTTCAAAACGCACCATTAAATCGCCGAACACCGAACTTTACAGTTTGGGTTCGTTGATCTCTAACTACCACATACATACATACATACTTACATAGATATACATGCAGATTAACACACAGATACATATAAATACACAGACACATACACACAAATTCATATAGACACCGACACCTACACACACATAGATACACACACCAACAAATGCACATACATAGATACACACCGACACATACACACCTTAACACATACATAAACTGACATATACACACATAAACGCACACTCTGACACACAGGTGCATTCACCCTGATGCACACAAACACTGACACATTCACACACCATGACACAGATACACACACTTTTTACAAAAAGAGAATAACGAACCACACTCCGATCACATGAAGATCCGGGTGCTAAACTGGACCAAGGGCCAGCACCAGCCCCAGGGAGTAGATATCAGTAGTTAAAAAAGGATCCAGGCACTCCAAGTATCTTCAATTGCATTTATTAGGGCAAGTGAGACACCGCAAAGTTATGACAGGTGAAAGGATCTTTGTCAAGCTACATCACACCAGAAATCACAACCATTTATAGACAAAAGCATAGTGAAAGTATAAAACAAACTCATTAAGTGATCTAGAGTTAGACATTGGTATAGTCAATTCAGTCTATGTTGGCACTCACCAGTGAGTTCCAAGCTGAATCAACTCAAATTGCCCCAGAGCAATTTTCTTTTTTTATTCAGTTTTTATTCAGTTTTATTCAGATGCTGAACGCTCCTTATAGAAGTGCATTATTTTATATATCTCGATAAGGAAATGCAGATTGGTGCAGAGCAACGTTTTGTAGTGCATTCGCATTACCTCCCAATGCATTACCTCCATATGGGAAAGCATTGGATTGGCCGATATTGTCAGGATTAATGATCTCAGCCAGGGAGGTGGGACAAATGTGGCTATGGAGAAAATATAAATAAATTACCCTTTTAACTTCATCCTGAGGAGGGCTGGGGATCTACACAGGTACTCTAACACTATAGTGTGCCTTTAATCTAACACAGACACACAATTTCCACATTTGATTACACAGACCTACCATAACCACATGCTGCTATTTACATTTATGTTCATTTTTTACTTCATATAATTATAATTTTTGCTCCACATTTTTCTGATAATCTCTCTTTTTCCCCAAAATATCTTATAGAGGGGTGCTCTAAGAAAAATATCCACGATATACTGATGTGCTGATTATGGACCTAGATTCCCAGAGCACTATAGAAGATTTACAAAAAGAGCAATGTGAGGGTACAAGTTATTTAGTCTCCACTGTATGGTAATCAGTACAATGATGAAAAATCACAGTTTGTGTTCCTTATAACTAAAACAAAAAACAAGAACACAGCAAAACAGAGTTTTATTTCAAGAGATTTATTAGAGATTTCACCTGTTTGTTGATATATTATATCGATAAAATAATACTATAAAGTCGAGAAGTCTTCCTGTGAAGAAAGTTAGACGAATCATGTGAGTTTGGAAGAAACCAATTTTCTCGTATAACTTTTGAGCATCAATCTGGGCTGATGAAGTCTCCAGGACAACAGCCTCACAACCTCTCTGGCGGGCAAAATCGATAACCGTCCTGCACAAGGCTTTAGCGATCCCTTTACCTCTGTGACTCTCGGCAACAGACAGCCTCTTGAGCTCAGTGTGTTTCTCTCCAAGTGAATTAGATGATGGGACAGTAGCCACTGTACCCACCACTATCCCACCAGACTCCGCCACCCAAAAGCAGCCACCATCTCTCTGCAAGTAATATTTTTGGATGTCCAACATGTCATCTGACAGGCATTGATCAACGTAGGATGAATAGATATATCTCGAACAGATCCAGAGGAAACTTAATTCTGTTATCAGAACCAGGAGGGGCATAATAACGGATCCAGTGATCCAGAAAGAAACCAGGAACATGACCAGCATGAAAAGCCAATTTCGTGGGACACTTATAGCATGACGGAAGGCCTCGTGAGAGTGCTCATTCATACCACGTGCAAAGAGTTCCGAGACAACTTTATAGTCTGAGTCTTCGTACAGGCGGATATGGTAATTAGACATTTTGCCACTCCTGTAAAAGAATGTAAAAGAGTTTATTAATTTATTGGATCAAACAACATCAGGTACATTCAGGTACCAGGACAACAAAATACTGGAATCTGTGCACCAGTTTGACACTCCAGGGGTATCTTAGGGCTTAACTTTATCTTGCAAACTCAATGATACAATAAGCACATAATCCACAAAATGTGGGTAAATGCGACCTGTATTATTATTATTATTATTATTGCCATTTATATAGCGCCAACAGATTCTGTAGCACTTTACAATATTATGAGAGGGGGAGATGTAACTATAAATAGGACAATTACAAGAAAACTTACAGGAACCGTAGGTTGAAGAGGACCCTGCTCAAACGAGCTTACAGTCTATAGGAGGTGGGGTATAAAACACACTAGGACAGGAAACATCAACCAAATAGGGCGGGAGTGAAGCAGAGTTGGAGGAGAGAGTAAAGCACTGCCCTATAGGAGAGAGTAAGAGACAGGTATGTAAGGTAGAGGTTACTCTTGGAGGCCATAAGCTTTCCTAAATTGATGGGTTTTAAGGCACTTCTTAAAGGATTGAAGACTAGGGGAGAGTCTGATGGGGTAGGCAGGCTATTCCATAGGAGAGGAGCCACCCAAGAGAAGTTCTGCAAGCGTGATTTGGCTGTACGGGTGCGAACAGGGTACAGGAGGTGCTCACGGGCAGAGCGGAGGTAACAAGGAGGGGCATACCTTTGGATCTGTGAAGAGATATAAGAGGGGCTAGAATTGTTCAGTGCTTTAAATGTATGGGTTAGCACTTTGAATTGACTCCTATAGGATACAGGGATCCAATGTAAGGGCTGGCAGAGGGGTGAGGTGTGAGAGGAAAATAAGTCTGGCGGCGGCATTCATTACAGACTGTAGCGAGGCAATACAGCTTTTGGGGAGACCAATCAGGAGAGGGTTACAATAATCCATGCGGAAAATTACTAGAGCTGGCACTCAGGCACTCCTTGGTAGCATCTTGTGCAGATGCGGGCTATGTTTTTAAGTTGGTATCTACAGGATTTGGCTACAAACTGGATGTGAGGCTCAAAGGTGAGGCCAGAGTCAAGTATGACGACAAGACAGCATGCTTGCAAGTATGGGCTGGATACCACTGACTTAAAGGGAGAGCAAGAGAGGAGGATCAGTATTATGAGGAGGAAAGACAAGGAGTTCAGTTTTAGAGAGATTGAGTTTCAGAAAGTGCAAGGACATCCAGTCAGAGATGAAAGCAAGACAAGCAGTGACACGTTGCAAGATGGCAGGGGAGAGGTTCGGGGAGGAGAGGTATTTCTGAGTGTCATCAGCATACAGGTGGTAGTGGAATCCAAAAGAGGCAATAAGTTTGCCAAGAGAGGCAGTTTAAAGAGAAAATAGAAGGGGACCAAGGACAGAGCCTTGGGGAACTCCAACCGAGACAGGACGAGGGTAGGAGGTATCCTTGGAAAAGGAGACACTGAATGAGCGTTGGGAGAGATAAGAGGAAAACCATGAGAGGACAGAGTCACAGAGACAGAGCAATTGAAGAGTTTGAAGGAGGAGAGCATGATCAACGGTGTCAAAGGCAGCAGAGAGGTCAAGGAGAATTAGTATGGAGTAGTGACCTTTGGATTTAGCTGCGATTAGGTCATTAGTAACTTTGATAACAGTAGTCTCAGTAGAGTGGAGAGGGCAGAAGCCAGACTGAAGAGGGTCAAGGAGAGAATTGGAATTGAGGAAGCAAGACACATGGATAAAGACAAGTCTTTCCAGAAGCTTTGAGGAAAAGGGGAGCAGGAAAATGGGAGGAGGATGGGTCAAGAGATTTTTTTTAAGGATAGGTACTACAGTGGCATGTTTAAGGTCAGCAAGAACAGTGCCAGAAGAGATAGAGCAGTTGAAGATGTGTGTTAGGGAAGCACAAGACAAGGGGAGAGAGATCTGATTAGGTGAGACGGGACAGGATCGAGCGGGCAAGTGGTGGGGCGAGAGGAATGGAGAAGCTCAGCCACCTCTTGTTCAGTAGCCGGGGAGAAAGTCTGAAGGGTAGGAAAGGCATGATATATGTGTGGTTGAGAAAGAGAACAGCAAGGAGGGGAGAATTATTTCCTTAGCTGTTCAATCTTGTCGGTAAAGTAGCATGCAAAGCTATCAGCTGTAAGGTTAGGTTGGGAGGTGGCCACAGTAGGGCGGAGAAGAGAATTAAAGGTGTCAAAGAGATGTCTGGGATTGCGGGAGCATGAACTAATGAGAGAGGAAAAGTATGACTGTTTGGCAAGGGCGAGGGCTGCGCTGTATGAACGCAATATGAATCTATAATGAAGAAAGTCTGCCTGGGTGCGGGACTTCCTCCAGGAGAGTTCGGCACAACGGGAGCAACTCTGCAGATAGCGTGTTGATTTAGTATGCCGAGGTTGGGGTAATGTCCTCCTTGAGGTGCATGTTTGGAGTGGGGCTGCAGTGTTCAGGACAGAGGTGAGGGTAGTGTTATATGTGGAGATGGCCAGTGAGGTACAGGAGAGGGAAGGGATGGATAGCAGTTGTGAATCAATGTCAGCTGACATCTGCTGGAGTTCAATAGAATTAAGGTTAGGCTGAGGTTGTTGGGTGAGTGGGTAATCGAGAGCAAATGATGAGAGATGGTGATCAGAGAGAGGAAATGGAGTGTTGCAGATATTAGATACTGTGCATGAATAGTAGAAAATAAGATTGTGGGTATTGCCAGCTACATGGGTGGGAGAATTAGCCCACTGCAATAGCCCAAGGGAGGAAGTAATTGAAAGTAGTTTAGAGGCTGCTGGGGTCAAAGGTGGGTTAATGGGAATATTAAAGTCTCCAAGAATTAGGGATTGAATGTTAGAAGATAGGAAGTAGGGTAGCCAGGCAGCAAAGTGGTCAAGGAAGAGGAGAGAGGAACCAGGGGGATGATAGATAACAGCAATGTTAGCAGAGAAGGGTTTGAAAAGGCGAATTGAATGAATTTCAAATTATGGGAAAGAGAGGGAAGAGGTCGTGGGCAGAGTTTTAAAGGAGCAGTGGGGGGAAAGGAGAAAACCTACACCGCCACCTTTAATCTCAGCTGGTCTTGGATTGTGGGTGAAGTGAAGACCACCAAAGGACAGTGAGACAGGGGTAGCAGTATCAGAGGGAGAGAGACATGTTTCTGTTAGTGCAAGTAGGTTTAGGGAGTGTGAGATAAATAGGTCATGGATGGAAGTTGATTTAAAGGTGCTGCACATAGAGCGTGAATTCCAGAGGGCAGCTTTAAAGGAGGAATTATAATGAGAATTGCATGGAATTGGTATAAGGTTGTTGTGGTTTCTGGTGTTAGTACCTGGTGGCTTAGTAGAGGATGGACCAGGGTTTGGAAAAACATCACCAGCTGCTAGGAGCAGTAGGATGGAAAGGAAGAGAAGGTGGGAGTAAGATTTAAATGTCAGGGATGAGAGCATGTATTTAGTGGATTTAGTAGGGGTTTGTGGAGAAAGACTGGATAAAAGATTGGATAAAAATTAAATATCCTACAAAGTATTATACAATCTCAATATATGTATAGAGATAGACTACTGTTAATGAAGCATCACCATTCAGCGTACAATAAAGTAAAATAAATGAAAAAACTAACATGCTTCTCCTGGAGTGGGGCCTGGAGGCCGAGCTGAGTGGACACATGTGGGCTCAGCTCCTGCTCTGCAGACCATAAAACGATGGCGAAAAGGCACAAAACAGCCCAGAAAACATAAAACCGGCCGACCACACGACAGGCAAAGGGAAGCTGACTACACAGATGTCACACAAGCAACTTTTAATGCCGGATCGTCGAGATCCGCGTCTGAGGCCTAACATGGCGGTAGACCTGATTGCCGGGGGAGGCGGCCGATGCCCCGACATGGGGCCCGCACTGCGCGGCTTTAAAGTCCTCCCGTCACCCACCCCCATATCCTGGTCCACGCTTGGGACTCATGCTCACCTACTGCACGATACATTCTTACCGAGCAGAGAGCCACACGATGCGCCCAAGATGGCTACCGTTCAGCCCTTGCAGCAGAAAAACGAGGACCCAGAGCTCCAGCGCTGGAGAATACAATTTGAGCGGCAGTTCGAGCAAATATGCCAAGCATTTTGGAGGCGCTTACAATTCAGACCTCCCTGCAAAGTCTCACCTGCTATAAAAAAACAAGCAGCTACGGCAGTCCATCCACCCACCTCAGGGTGCGCACACCCAGCCACTCCGGCAGCCAGAAAGCTCCCCGAAACAAAGCGACTTCACCCCAATCCAACCTCACACTGGTAAACATTCAGAAGAAAAGATCCAGGCTCAAACCACGAGCAACACGGCGGAGGGCAAAGCGGAGGTCCCACACAGACACCCAACATGGACCGTTGGGCTCCTGCATACCCCGCAGTGAAGGCGGGCCACAGCTCCTCAAGAGAAACACCCATCCATGCCACACGCTTCCACGGACAACCCTCACCCTACACGAGCAACGGCACTCTGACAGAGGTTCCAGAGAACAAGCCATCCCTGCAACACGAGAGACTCACACGATCGGAGAGGGGACCTGCACCACAGATGGAGGCTGGAGAGGCACATTAAAGCAGGACTATTGTAACCCATGTGGCAGGGCCACGAGGCTATTAGTAGAGGGCATAAGTTAAACGTGGCTAGAAACAAAGGAGCCGTGAGGGGAGAGAGACCTCCCCACTATTGTTTAATAAAAAGATGACCAGGATGGAGAGGGTTAAACAATTTCTGTGGATATTTACGTACTCTATTCCAAGACTAAAGCAGAAAAAGCTTAAATACATCTCCCATTCAAACTATTATCTAAAGCAAGGGTAGGCAACCTTTTAGCAGCACTGTGCCGATATAGGATTGTGATGTCCTGTAGAGTGCAGATCCAATTTTTTTAAATTGAGGTGTCTATGCTGCCGTATTCTGCTTGTTATTTTTACTGTAATTGCTTTGTATCATATTTGAGCGTATATGAGCTATTATATTGTATATGTTCATTAGCAGTTTATGGTATTGTGTATTATACATATAAATGTGGGCTGTGTATGAGGGCTGCTTGTGGAATTGTGTGTGGGTGGATATGTCACATTGTGTGTTTGGTAGTGTGTGGGGGCTGTTTGGGGTATTGCATGTGAGAGGCTGCATGTGGGGTTGTGTGCATGTATGTGTATTGTTAGTGGTGTTGCGTTTGTGCGGATTGTGTGTATATTTGTTTGTGGGCTGTTCGTATTATTTGTATGAGGGGAGGGTTGTTGTGCATTTCTGTGTATATCTAGCAGTGTGGGTGGGTTCCCTGGGTTCCAGTGGGGACCAGGCTGGCCAGGTACAGGTCAAGGACAGGATCTGCGATAGCTGTCAAGGGCTGCTCTACTAAAGTGTGGATTCCCATTCACAAGTGCCGGGAGGCAGTGATCTGAGATCAGTTCCTCTGTGCTGCAATGCATAAATTGAGGATTGTCCTTCACCACGTCTTCGTATTAGCAAATATCTGAAGTTTTACTGGGACTCCTGATAGGCCAGAGTGCATTTGGCTCTAGCAGCCTTGAGTGCCGTACAAAGACCCCTCAAGTGCCGTGCATGGCACTAGTGCCGTAGGTTGCCTACCCCTGATCTAAGGTATTGATCTTCCTACTTTTCCAGTTGGCCAAAGATAGATCTCCAATGAGGAGTTCTAAAATCTCTATTTCCAAGAAACAAAATATTTTGTCTGTACATTAAACATTTTTTTGTAATTTTGTGCCATAGTATAAATATATGTTATTATTATATGTCATTATCTTGGTTTTTATTTGTTTCAGCCTTGAGTAGCTGTTTTTTTCCATTTCAGTTTTTTCAGTTCAGACTTATTAAGTGATTCAATTTCCAATCTAAACCACCCTTCTTTCATCATTGCTTTTTGGGTTAATAAATCAACATGGTATACCCTACTGGCTTTGTCATTTTTTTATATTAGGAAAGTTTACACCTCCTTGGTAAACCCTATTACCTAAACACTCCAAGCCTCTCCAAGGTTTTTCCCCTTCCATATAAAATTTCTAAAACTTCCTTGGATAAGATCTAACCAACCCTCAGGTATACTTAGTGGTACCATTTTAAAGAAATAGGTCCATATAGGTAGAATATAAGCATTTACTATGTTGATTCTACCTTGCCATTTTTCATCACATTACCCCATGTTTTCAAAGTAATATTAGTGGATTTTAAAATTCTCAGTATGTTGACAATCCTATCCACTTTTTTTAGAAAACGTAACTCCCAGATAATTGAAAGCTTCTTTTATTTCAGTGAAATTGTACGTATTTAGAATGTTCTGTTAAGTCCTTAGCTCTATATTGACACCTTGACAACACTTACAACATTTAAAATATAAACAGATCCCCCTGTATATTTAGGGAAAAACCTTACATCCCAAACTAAGTTGGAGGACCCACTCGTCCTCCTCCTAAGTCTCGTGGAACTACCTCTAAGTGTGCTCATGACTAAGTCCTTCTTTCCGAACTCTTATTCGGAACCACCTTTACCACATCATTCCCCCTTCTCCTTTGCTTTTTCTCACAGTTTATAATGTTGGGAAAATTTTACTTGTGGTTGGCTAATTTCAGTTGTGTATGATCACATATATTTACTTGCGACCTTATAGATTAGGTTATTTTATAGGTAGCGTATTATCAACTTCTTTTTTATTAGTAGTAAAAAGAAGGATTGTTTTCACTTATCTTACAGGGCTCTCTCATCCTTTTTCATGAGTTGAAATTACCCTTATGGAATTTTTCTTTATGTGCTGCCTCTCACGAAGCCTCACATTGCCTTTCTCCTCACTGTTTTCTCCTCTCCGGATTCCCAGACTGCCAAGGGTATTTGTCGCTTGTCACTTTCCCCTGCATAGCTTAGTTTGCTGTCCGTCCCTTAGCATCCAGTTTCCAGATCGCTCTCCCTAGGACGCCGTAACAATGCGGCTACATACAGCTGTCCGTCACACTCAGTCCCTCAACCCCTCAGACCCTCAGACCCCACCTCCTGATGCGTGCAAGCGTACATCCATCTTCACTTCATCACACCTGACCAAATTTATATGCTAATGAACTCCTGAACCAAACTTGAATAACCCCTTATGTAGTAGATATGTGCACCAGTCAAATTTTCATTTCGTACAAATGATTTCGTGCTAAATAAAAATTTAATTTGTCAATCCCGAATTTTGTCTGCAAACCATTTGTTTTCAAACGAAATTCGTAAAAAAGATTTTGTAGCACTGCTCATGTGCAAAAAAGGAAGCAGGGAGCCGGCAGCGCTACCAGCTACCTCCTTGTAATAAATAACTATTCCTAACCCCCCCTTCATTAAAACCTATTGGGGTCACTATGACCCCAATATTAATAAAAGGGAGGCATGCTGTTAGTAGGGGCATGCCGCCTTAACAACGAGCAGCCAATGCTGTTGCTGTAATTTCAAACTAAATATAAATCAGTATGTGGGTCACTCTGACATTAGGTCCTCCCCATTATTTATTTATTTAGGGTCCTCACCCGCTGCTCATGGGTGGGGACCAGGGTGGACATTAGGTCCCCCCCCTTAATTAATTAGGGTGCCCATCCGCCGCTGATGGGTGGGGACCTGGGGGGGACATTAGGTCCCCCCATTATTTATTTATTTAGGGTCCCCACCCACCACTCATGAGTGGGGACCTAGGGGGGACATTAGATCCCCCCTTGTTATTAATTTAGGGTCCACACCCGCCGCTCATGGGTGCGACCTGGGGGGGACATTAGGTGACCCCCATACTGATTTATATTAAGTTTGAAATGACAGCAAGCAGCCAGTGGCCGAGTGGGCACATGCGGGAGGATTTAACCTTCCTTTTATTAATATGGGGGTCATAGTCACCCCCATAGGTTTTAATGCAAGGGTGCTCACTGTTATTTCTCTGTGCTGTGGGGGTTAATTCCCCTGCAGCACGGAGTCCATTAAACGTACAAAACGAAAAGGTAATGCATTAGGCATTTGCCCTTTTGTTTAGTTTATATTTAGTTTGTAGGGTTTCGTTTACGTTTTAGTAAACGAATATGAAAAAAACTGAATTTTCGGACAAAATCGTTTCGTACGAAAACGAATGCACATGTCTATTATGTAGTGGCTGATTGCTAAGAGGTAATGCAATACCAAAATGTATCAAGTATATGGATATATGGTCAGGTAGCTGATACTAAAGTGAAGTAATTAGATCGTATACAGAATAAAAATGATAGAAGCCTCTCTCCCTGGTAATCTAACTAGATAGGTAAAGGAGTCAGAAATTATAGTGACAAACAAGCATATGTATATTCTCAATAGACATCATCAAGTGGCAACATACAAGAGATAGGTGATAAGTGCCCAAACATCCAAGAACCCGACGCGCATTTCGGTGCAACCTGGTGTGCACCTTCCTCAGGGAAAAAAAATCCATTGAGTGTGGTCCTCCTTTTACCTATATAACCCATGTGGGAAACTATTTTAATGGCTAATCGTGAGTGGAGACGTCATACAGGAGGCGTGAGCTTTAATCCAATGATGTCATTTTCATATGCACCGCCTTCCCTCTAAGGCCTGTCAATCGACTTTATACTGCGGGGAGGGGTAATTGTGAGGTTCTCTATCTAACTCTGCAAGATTAAATGCTTCCAAATTAATATGATAACAACATCCCATGTTGATTTAATAACTGATGTAGATCTAGACCCATTGAGCGGTGATAACAATATGTTCTGCATGTATTCAAAAATAGACAACTAGTAAATAATAAAATGAAGAAATAGTATTTCTCATAAATATAATCTACAATTAATAACAGTTAGCATTACAAAGTGCCCATAGATATATCGTTCAATTGGGTATCTGTAATTTAGACATATTAGCCAAATGGTGTATTGATGGTATATAACTTCATAGATATCTCAAATATATATCAAATGTGTCCATGTTATTCCCCTTCTCTACTTTGAATATTGTATCTAAGTCATTTAATTAGGCATTTTAGTGTCATAAGGTAAATGAATGTCTTTCTCTTATATCGAACTCACAGCAAGAACAAACTTTGCTATCATCATATATGTATTCGTAAATTTGGTGTAAGTTCATCAGAATGTGCCTAAATTAAGTCATACAATATGTATTCCTTTCGTGGGGATATTTCAGATATTTAAGATATTATAATTAGTTGGAGTGTTCCCTATAAGATACCTTATTTAGTACGTTATTGTCAAGGAAATCATAGAAGATACTAGTCTTTGTTTATGTCTCTAATCATCATATTACTGTATATACATCTTTGCAAAACAACAAATGATTCTAAAAAGCGGACACCTTAAAATGTGTCCTTTTTATGGCCATGATGTCCGTAATGTTATATATATATATTCCCACTTCAGTCATAGGAGAGGACAAGTGTAATTCTAATTCAATGAGCTACACAATGTCATATACATAATACATATTTACAATGAGATAATCTTGTCAAAAAGATACTTAAAAGTATATACAGTGCTATTAGAATAAACAATATAAAACAGCTATTACATCTTTATTCAAAGATGATTAAAGTGAACGAAAATCCTTCTTTCAGGCTACATTGAGCCAGCGTTTTTGAGTCTAAATATTTGAGTCTATCCCTCTGGAATAGCTTCTTATCTAGGTCCCCTTTTCTGGATGCCAAGGTTACTTTTTCAATGCCACAGAAACTTATTTTATCCGCCGAACCCCCTGATGTAATTTCAGATGTTTGGAAATTGGGGTTGTAGCAGACTTTATTCCCTTGTGTTTGGTTGTCCGTGCCCCCTTGTTCGTTTCCTGAATGACTGGTGTATGGTCCCCCGTTTTATACCTCAGCGAGTTTCTTGAGTGGGCATCATGTTTTTCCCACATATTGTTTTTTGAATACTACAAGTAAGTAAATAGATGACTCATGTAGTTTGACAATTGAAAAAGGACTTGGTGGTTAACGTGTCCGTACTTCTTGAATTTGAGAAGGACTTGTATTGTCTGGGAATATATTTGCATGCCTTACATCTCCCACATTGGTATGTCCCAATTGTGGGAGACTTAAGCCAAGTTCCATTAGTAGGTGATTTTTAAGTGACTTGGAACCAAAATGTCCCTTAAGTTGCGTTGCGTCCTCTTCATGCGGTAATTGAGACATGAGGAGTGATAACTTCATTAAGCTGTCTATCCTGCTGTAGGAGTGACAACATTTTTCCAAGACACTTTTAACAGAATACCATCTTGCGTCGAAGGTACCTATGCATCTAATTAGTTATTTTTTTGTTCCAGTGGGTAAATTTTCCATCAAAAGATCTTTTCTGGGAAACTCCCACCCTACCTGAGCAAAATGCTCTCCTCAGCTGTTCCCACCTCCTATAACCTCCGATCCAGTACCAGCACTTTATTTAGTCTACCTCAATATAAAAAGAAAGCTTCCAATCCTCCTTCTCCTACAGAGCGCAGCAATTATGGAACGACCTCCCGCACACTTTAAAATCTTCCCCAAGCCTAAAGTCCTTTAAGAGATCCCTCTCAACATATCTCAAAACAGAATGCACCTGTCATGGTTGATTATATATTTCCTACCTGTTCTATGTTAAATTTTTTATATATTGTGTATTAATATTGTTTTGTATTTTATTGTACCCTAATGTATCAGTGCAATGATTTGTGGACCCAGGACATACTTGAAAACGAGAGAAATCTCAATGTATCTTTCCTGGTAAAATAATTTGTAGAGAAATATAAATAAATCAAATTTTTAATGCTATTTTGTACGCCCTTCTAGGACATTTATTTGGGTTACCCTTTTCTTTAAATTGTGCCCTCAGGGTTTTGGCTTTGATTTTAAAGCATCAGTAGACAAGTAATTCCATCTCAAGTGGAGGTACTCTCCAACTGGTATACCTCCCTTCAGGGCTGGAGAGGGATGGTTTTCTCAGTTATGGGGGTTATTAGTAGCTGTTGATTTTCTGAACAAAGTTGTTGCTACGTTACCATCCTGTTTAACCTTAATTGTAATATACAAAAAGATTAGCTGTTTACCTTAATTTCTAAGGTCAGCTGTAAGTTGATGTCATTTCGATTTAGTGTACCCTCAAACCCTTTAAACAGATCAATGGTACCCATCTACACCACCAATGTTACATAGTTACATAGCTGAAAAGAGACTTGTGTCCATCAAGTTCAGCCTTCCTCACATTTGTTTTTTCCCTGTTAATCCAAAAAACACAGTTTGAAGCACTTCCAATTTTGCGACAAACTAGGAAAAAAATTCCTTCTTGGCAGTCAGTTTAATCCTTGGATCAAGCAGTTATTACCCTACATATTCTGTTTTTGCAAGTATTAATCTAGTTGCTGTTTGAACATCTGTATGAACTCTGATAAAACCACTTCTTCAGGCAGAGAATTCCACATCCTGATTGTTCTTACAGTAAAATAAAACGTTTCTTTGCCTTAGACGAAATGTATTAATTTATTCATTCACATGACATTCATAATAGTTTATAAAAAGTTCTGATGACTGGTGACAGTTAAAATAGGGAATAAAAAGAATAAATCTGAGGAACACAATAAATATGGAAAGACAATGACAGATACTCACCAAAGTACTGCTGCTAGTCAGGTAGAAGAAGAGGTCTCTAGACAAAGAAAACACTGGACCTGTTACAACAAAAATAATATGCTCCAGCAGAGTACACAAATCATTGCACCTTTATTAGTAAGAACAACATTGGCATGAGGAACTGCACAACGGGGGGAGCCAAAGCCGAACGTGTTTCAGATCCAGAATTCCTTTCTCAGAGGGATTACTATGAGTAAGGACCCCGGCGTCTGAAATGCATTAGGCTTTGGCTCCCCCTTGTGGTGCAGTTCCTCATGCCGCTGTCACAGCCAGGTGTGGTTAGGGCTTCATAACCAGAAACAATGTGTTTTAACTCCTTTACGGCAGAGAACTGAGCAGTGAGACTGCGGGGAGTGACCGATACACCAAAACTGCTTGGATTACTTGCAACTATACTGAAACCCTATGCACATTTATATAACTGGAGAATTTTTAATATCACTTGAATGGCCAATCGGAGAGATTCTAAAAATGCCAGCTATTTAAACATGCATAGGCATTTGGCATAGTGTGCAAGTCAATATTTACAATGGTTTTTAAGGTATGTATTGGGGATGATATGTACTATGGTTATTGCTGTCACTCAGGAGTGGTGGCAGTTTGAGTGCAGGGATTCATTTTGTATATTTAAAGTTGTTTTGGTGCCTATAGTTTCCTTTAAAAGCTTTGTTATATTTTGTGTAAACGAGCTAAGTTTGATATACACACTATTTAAATAAAGTACCTGTTTCCAATGTGACTCGCTGTTTTCAGCTCTCTGATTTGGGAGGTGACACCGGACCGCTGTGTGTTTTCCCTAGATGATGATACTGACCTTTGGAGGGAACATAACTATTCCAGAAACGTATTAAAACGTGTAATAAATGATTAACGGTTATTGTATTTGTGAGCAAAGTGTTTCTGTTGTATAAATAGCAAGGAATAATTTAACACACTCCTCTTCAACATTAAAAACGTATCAGTGCCCTATCCCAAATCTGAGAATATGTGACACTACAGGTTCCAAGATCAGTGCAGTTTAATGACTCTTTAGTTTTAACCCTGGAATGCAAATAATTGCCGTTTAGTAGATACAGCAACGTGTTCAGTCAGAATATCTACCGCTATCATACATGGTATGTACACGCATTGCTGTCTACACACAATGACACACACAGACACAGTAGACACACAGTGACACACATACTATCACTATCACTCACTCACAGTATAGAAACACTGAGACACCCAGCAGTGCATCGGGGCCCGCAAGCTGGGTTGCCCACCAGGTGGCCAATGCACTTAGAGCTACCAATTGGGTATTGGTGAAACAGAGGCCAGTGAGGAGCAACAGCCCTTTAATGTTGGCAGCCTGGGAGGAATAGGGAGATGGTTACATCCTCCTAAATACATAGAGAGCACAGCTTGGCTGGGAGAATGAGGCACAGACAGGAGCGGGGGGGGGGGGGAACAAAGAAAGACCCAGCTCCAGCCAACCAGACACCCATATAATCCGCAGCCAGCAGTCAGACCCCAGAGAAGCCATTCTCCTTCTCATAACAGGTTTGCTAACAGGTGGGTGGCTAAACATATAAAACTGATGTATCTATGTGTGTATGTCAGTGTGTGTATCTGTGTGTCTGTGTGTGTATCTATGTGTGTGTATCTGTGTGTCTGTCTGTGTGTCAGTGTGTGTATCTTTGTGTGAGTGTGTGTATCTATTTGTGTGTCTGTGTGTGAGTGTGTGTATCTATGTGTGTTAGTGTATTTATGTGTGTCTCTGTGTGTGTATCAACGTGTGTGTCAGAGTGTGTATCTGTGTGTGAGTGTGTGTATCTATGTGTGTGTTAGTGTATTTATGTGTGTCTCTGTGTGTGTATCTATGTGTGTGTTAGTGTATTTATGTGTGTCTCTGTGTGTGTATTAACGTGTGTGTCAGTGTGTGTATCTGTGTGTGAGTGTGTGTATCTATGTGTATGTCAGTGTATTTATGTGTCTCTATGTGTTTATCTACGTGTGTGTTAGTGTATTTATGTGTGTCTCTGTGTGTGTATTTCAATTTGTGTATGTCACTATATGGAAATATAGCGATAGACTTGAAAAAACCCTATTCAGTGATATAGATGGTTAATGAGGAACCTAGGCTAACTGAGACACGTGTTAAGGTTTGAGCATTGAGGTGTCCTACTGAAACCACACAGCCAGGTTTCTATCCCAGTCATAGTCATAGTTTAGTATAGATGCCCTTTACACTCTGCTTCAATAAATCTAATATGTCTTCTATAAGCATTGTTTTATAGGAGTTATAAAGCAATCCCTTCTCTACTTCCTATGTTTAACTTGTTAAGTAACACTTTTTATGTCTGAATCAGTGCGGATTTAGTTTTATTTTCGACATATTAACACTTGGGAGCACAAGTATGAAACAAAATCTAAAAGTTCACATATTTGTTTCAATGAAATGGTTCTCTTCTTTGGTTCTCTCTGTTGTGGAACTTTATTTCTCTTTTTTTACACATATTTAGTGTCAGGCCAGCCGTCCCCCAAACTCCCCAGCAGATGCCTTGTCAGCCTCTTCCCCTGAGGGTCCCAAGAGCTGGCCGACTGGTCACCTCAGGCCCCCCAGAGGCAGGCATCTACCTGATATGGGAGGCAGCACTCTCCAATGAGCTCCCCCTGCTCAGCTTCCTCGCGCGCAATGCAGTGATGCCGGAGCTGGAATATGACGTCACTCTGGCCCCGTCTGTCTGTCCGGCAGCCCTGGTGGTCCAGTGGTGAGTTCTATAGAGCTATAGCCTGCAGCTTCTCTGGCTGCAGGCTATCTTCACTCCTCCCTTTTTTAGTCTCCACTGTATGGGAGTCTGCACAGAGATATAAATCATAACTTGTGTTCTTTATAATTAAAACAAGCAACAAGATCACAACAAAACAGAGTTTTATTTTAAAAGATCTTATTAGATATTTCCCCTGTTTGTTGGTATATCATATCGATAAAACAAATCTATAAAATCAAGAACTCTTCCTGTGCAGCAAGTTAGATGAACAATGTGAGTTCGGAAGAAACCCATTTTCCCGTATAACTTTTGAGCATCAATCTGGGCTGATGAAGTCTCCAGGACAACAGCCTCACAACCTCTCTGGCTGGCAAAATCAATGACCGTCCTGCACAAGGCTTTAGCGATCCCTTTACCTCTGTGACTCCGGGCAACAGTCAGCCTCTTGAGCTCTGTGTTTTTCTCCACACGTGGATTAGATGATGGGACAGCAGCCACTGTACCCACCACTATGCCACCAGACTCCGCCACCCAAAAGCAGCAACCATCCCTCTGTAGATAATATTTTTGGATGTCCAACATATCATCTGACAGGCATTGATCAACATAGGATGAATAGATATATGTCGAACAGATCCAGAGGAAAATTAATTCTGTTATCAGAACCAGGAGGGGCATACTAATGGATCCAGTGATCCAGAAAGAAACCAGGAACATGACCAGCATGAAAAGCCAATTTCTTGGGACACTTATAGCATGACGGAAGGCCTCGTGAGAGTGCTCATTCATACCACGTGCAAAGAGTTCCCTGACAACTTTATAGTCTGAGTCCTCGTACAGGCGGATATGGTAATCGGACATTTTGCCACCCCTGTAAAACAAGGTAAAATAGGTTATTAATTCACTAGTCAGTGACTCCCTCCCCCACATTAGGGAATCTGTAATGTCCGATTGTAGACCTACCTTGATGCTGACAGATTGATTTACAGAGCCCATGTTGCATATCTAAAAGAAGATCAATCCCAAGTGCACACTACCCCTACTACAGCATTCCATTTGCAAAAATAGACAATCAGGGATATTTTAGGTTTCATATTTTGAGTTTTTTCATGCCATAATTGCTAAGCACCATTACTACCATATCTTAATGTAGTGGGTTCGGTGGACAATGTGAAGCCATTTCTGAAGAATGGCAATGTTAGCTATCGGCTGAAAAACTGGACATTAGAAGCTACCAGCCAGCCATTAGAGCCGCACTTCCTGAGGGACACTTTAAACACCAAACACATTTCAGTAACAATTGGAGTGGTTTTGGTGTATTGATCATGTCCCTGCAGTCTAACTGTTTAACTATCTGCCATTTAGAAGTTAAATCACTTTGCAACCCTTGCCACCCTCCTATGTAACCCTTGCCATCCTCCTCATTGACTGTGACTCACACAACCTCCCTACATACTTGTGTTTAATTTAGAAGAAATATTCTCCTGCTTGGTTAATTGCCTGCTAGAGTATGCAGCAGCCTCCTGTGTGTGGTCAAAGTTTACTTAACTGGGCAGGAAATAAGAACTTCAAATGTAAATACACTGTACTGTAATATCTGAAGTGAAGCCGTTTTTTCATGGAAGCTGAGGGAGTCACATGCAGACACACATAGGCGTGCGCAGCCTATTGCACACACGCCGCATGTATATGTATCTATATATATATAGCGGAGTAGTAGTATTATCCACGGTATCTCTGCTGGTAGACAGAATCAAACAGGTACAAAGCAGGCAAAATCCAGGTAGCGTAGTTACAATCCCTTTCTCCCAAGTACTAGACGACACATAGCTTGGAGGTCAACTGAGGTTTTTAATTACAGGCCCAGTATTTATGTGGTTAGAATTGTATGGGGTTTCCTAAGTCACAATGCAGGGTTTGTCCAGTAGGGGACTACATAGGGGACTTAGTTTTACAGCCAGAGTACCCAGCATACATTGGTACAGAGAAATACAGTTTTCATATTAAAATCCATAACCAACATAATATTTGTGCTAGACAGCTATTTAACCATTTATTATATAGCTGGGACCTGGGCGCACAGTTAAGGGAACTTGCACTCAGATCCCAGCACAATTAACCGAACGCGGTTCAGTTCAGTTTCCTTTCTCAGGACCCTTTTGTTTAACCGATTGCCTGAACTGAGGGAATAAAAGTCCCGAAAACGACAAACTCCCGAACAGCTCGGAAGTCCAGCGGGGCTTTGTCGCTGAGTAGCCGATTTTAGTTCCAGGCACTCAACAACAAAACCCCGCTGGCATTGCGTGAAGAAAGATTGGGGATGTCAGGAGGAGTACTCACAGATCACTTCTCAAGTTCAGTTTGTCTGGATAACCCGCTGGCGTTGCCGTTTAGCTTTCCCGGGGGGTAGTGGATCGTAAAGTCAAAATGCTGCAGCACCAAACTCCAGCGCAGCAGCCTGGCATTGTCTCCTGATTCCCGATTTAGCCAGACTAACGGGTTGTGATCTGTGAGTAGCGAGAATGGTTGTCCGTATATATGGTTGCAGTTTCTTGAGGGCCCACACCATGGCAAGGCATTCCATTTCTATGGCAGCGTAGCTTACTTCTCAGGGTAAAAGTTTTCTGCTTAAGTAAGCTACGGGATGCTCGCTGCCATCTGCTCCGACTTGGCTTAGTACTGCTCCCAATCCAAACATAGAAGCGTCTGTGTGGACGAGAAATCGTTTAGTTGGATCAGGAGCAGCAAGTACAGGTGCGTTAACAAGAGCAGTTTTCAGTTGCTGGAATGCCTGTTCACACTCTGGGGCCCACACTACTAAGTTAGGGAGTTTTTGCGGGTTAAATCTGTGAGGGGTTTGGCCAGGGTACTGTAATCGGGCACAAATTTTTCGATAATATTCTGCAGTACCTAAAAATGCTAGAACCTGGGTTTTGGTGCTGGGGCTTGGTCATTTGGCTACGGCCTCTATTTTGGCAGGTTCTGGCTTCTGCTGGCCGCTTCCTACCTGGTGTCCTATATATTGGACTTTGGCCATCCCTGTATGGCACTTACTAGATTTAAGGGTTAGCCCTGCCTCCTTAATACAATCTAAGAAGGCTCCTACATGGCTCAGGTGATCGGTCCAGGAATAGCTAAAGATCGCTATGTCATCTAGATAGGCGCACGCGTATTCCTGAAACCCGCCCAATAGCCGGTCCACCATTCTTTGGAAGGTGGCCGGAGCGTTTTTCATTCCTAATGGCATAACCCTAAACTGGTACAGGCCAAACGGAGTGACAAACGCAGACTTAGGCATGGCGTCCTCAGCCAAAGGGATTTGCCAATACCCTTTGCAAAGGTCGATCGTGGTTAGGTATTGGCCTCTGGCCATCTTGTCTAAGAGCTCGTCTATTCATGGCATCGGGTAGGCGTCTGATACCGTTTTATCATTGAGCCTCCTATAATCTATGCAGAAGTGGGTAGTTTGAGTGCAGGGATTCATTTTGTATATTTAAAGTTGTTTTGGTGCCTATAGTTTCCTTTAAAAGCTTTGTTATATTTTGTGTAAACGAGCTAAGTTTGATATACACATTATTTAAATAAAGTACCTGTTTCCAATGTGACTCGCTGTTTCCAGCTCTCTGATTTGGGAGGTGACACCGGACCGCTGTGTGTTTTCCCTAGATGATGATACTGACCTTTGGAGGGAACATAACTATTCCAGAAACGTATTAAAACGTGTAATAAATGATTAACGGTTATTGTATTTGTGAGCAAAGTGTTTCTGTTGTATAAATAGCAAGGAATAATTTAACACACTCCTCTTCAACATTAAAAACGTATCAGTGCCCTATCCCAAATCTGAGAATATGTGACACTACAGGTTCCAAGATCAGTGCATTTTAATGACTCTTTAGTTTTAACCCTGGAATGCAAATAATTGCCGTTTAGTAGATACAGCAACGTTTTGAGTCAGAATATCTACCGCTATCATACATGGTATGTACACGCATTGCTGTCTACACACAATGACACACACAGACACAGTAGACACACAGTGACACACATACTATCACTATCACTCACTCACAGTATAGAAACACTGAGACACCCAGCAGTGCATCGGGGCCCGCAAGCTGGGTTGCCCACCACGTGGCCCACGCACTTAGAGCTACCAATTGGGTATTGGTGAAACAGAGGCCAGTGAGGAGCAACAGCCCTTTAATGTTGGCAGCCTGGGAGGAATAGGGAGATGGTTACATCCTCCTAAATACATACAGAGCACAGCTTGGCTGGGAGAATGAGGCACAGACAGGAGCTGGGGGGGGGAACAAAGAAAGACCCAGCTCCAGCCAACCAGACACCCATATAATCCGCAGCCAGCAGTCAGACACCAGGGAAGCCATTCTCCTTCTCATTACAAGTTTGCTAACAGGTGGGTGGCTAAACATATAAAACTGATGTATCTATGTGTGTATGTCAGTGTGTGTATCTGTGTGTCTGTGTGTGTATCTACGTGCAGGGCCGCCATCAGGGCATGACAACCGCAATGGTTGTCATGGGCCCGGCGGTCCTGGGGGGCCTGGACTGCTAAGATCGTCCAGGCCCCACATTCAGTGGGTACATACCGGGTCGCATGGGGCCCTGCGACCCCGGTATGTACCCACTGGGCCAGCCTCTTCTCCTGGGGGGCCCAGCAGCCGGTCACCACAGGGCCCCCCAGAGGCTGGCCCTGACAGCTGGCCAGCGCGCGAGGGACCACTCTCCTCTGAGTGCTTCCTCTTCAGCTCCCTCGCGCACCATACTGATGCCGGAACCGGAAGATGACGTCATCTTGCGGCGCCGGCATTAGTACGCGGCGCGTGAGGGAGCTGAAGAGGAAGCACTCAGAGGAGAGTGGTCCCTCGCGCGCCGGCCGGCTGTCAGAGGGAGGGGAGGGAGGGGGGGAAATTTGAGGGAGCGGGGGAATAAATTTAAGGGAAGGAGGGAGGGGGAGGAGAAATTTAGAGGAGGGGGGGGAAAGAAATTTAAGGGAGGGAGGGGGAGGAAAGAAATTTTAAGGAGGGAGGGGAAATTTGAGGGAGGGGGAGGAAATATTTGAGGGAGGGGGGAGAGGAAGAAAATTTGAGGGGGGAGGAAGGAAATTTAAGGGGGGGGAGAGGAAGGAAATTTTGAGGGAGAGGAAGGAAATTTGAGGTGGGGTAGAGGAAGGAAATTTTGAGGGGGGGAGAGGAAGGAAATTTGAGGGACGGGGAGAGGAAGGAGATTTGAGGGAGGGGGGAGAGAAAGGAAATTTTGGAGGGGGGAGAAGGCAATGAGAGGGAAGGGGAGAAGGAAATTGGAGAGGAGGGGGGAGAAGAAGGAAATAGATAACAGTGACCCAATATGTGCTAAGTGCAAATGTGTAAGAAACTCTAACACCCTGGTGAGGTTCCCTTAACCTTCACCAACAAAGAATTATAGACACAACAAAGTATAAGGTGGAGTATCTTACATGCACTTTTCAAGTAGTCCTTTGTTTAGGTACATTTCATACAGTATACTCTAAAAATAATAAAATAGCAGAAAATAGTGCAATATTGCTTGTACTCTTAATTTTGCAAATCCAATAAGGTCTTGACAAATGCAAACTCACAAGTGTGGAGCCACTAAAGTTTAGGCTCAAGTTGTTCACTTTGTGGGATGTAAAGGGTCCCACTCCCTCCTCTGTGTTCCAAGTTCCTTATGAAGGGTAAATTACTATTTTCTGCTATTTTATTCTTTTTAGAGTATACTGTATGAAATGTACCTAAACAAAGGACTACTTGAAAAGTGCATGTAAGATACTCCACCTTATACTTTGTTGGGAGAAGAAGGACATTGGAGGGGGAGAAGAAGGAAGTTGGAAGGGGGGAGAAGAAGGAAATTTGAGGGAGGGGGGAGAGGAGGGGGGAGGGAAATTTGAGGGGGAGGAAGGAAATTCTGGGAGGGGGAGAGGAAGGAAATTGAGGGGGGGAAGGAAATGAGGGGAGAAGGCAATGAGAGGAAGGGGAGAAGGACATTGGAGAGGGAGGGGGAGAAGAAGGAAGTTGGAGGGGGGAGAAGGAGAGAAGAAGGAAATTGGAGAGGGGGAGAAGAAGGAAGTTGGAGGGGGAGAAGAAGGAATTGGAGGGGGGGAGAAGAAGGAAATTGGAGAGGGAGGGGGAGAAGAAGGAAATTGGAGAGGGAGGGGGAGAAGAAGGAAATTGAGAGGGGGGAGAAGAAGGAAATTGGAGGGAGGGAGAAGGAGGGGGAGAAGAAGGAAATTGGAGGGGGGAGAAGGAAATTGACGGGGGGGGGGGAGAGATTGACATACATCACACACACACACAATGCACCCCTTGCACACAGAAAAACAAACAATGCATTACACACAGACACACATACACAAGCAATGCATCCCTTACACACAGCAACACACAATGTACCCCTTACACACTCAATGCATCCCTTACAGACACACACACTGCATCCCATACATACACAAACTCACCTTGCAGCCCTTACACATACAAACACAGATTCACACAATGCATTCCTTACACATATCAGGACATCCCCCCCACACACACTCCACCCCCTGTGAACAAACTCATTGGTGGAACATGAAGGTGGATCCTGGGACCCAGACATTGAGCTGTGTAAAGGACCCCTCAAAAAATGGAGCTGCTTCCCGTTCTCCCAGAACATTGATTTTTGTGACCACAGTTACAAACCACCTCCAGAGAGCCTGTTCTACACCAGACCAGTGGAGCCAGACTGCAGCTAGAGCCCATCATCATCCTCATCTGGTTGTAAGTAGGCAATCTAGTATATTATTTGTGGCACTAATCTCTAATTTACCTCACATTAAAGAAACACTATAGTCCCCAGAACCACTGCAGCTTAATGTAGTGGTTCTGGTGTCTAGCCTGTCCCTGCAGGCCTTTTAATGTAAACACGGCGGCACTGCAGCACTGGCGTTAGTTAACATGGCAGATCATATCTATGTGTGTGTTAGTGTATTTATGTGTGTCTCTGTGTATGTATCAACGTGTGTGTCAGTGTATGTATCTGTGTGTGAGTGTGTGTATCTATGTGTGTGTTAGTGTATTTATGTGTGTCTTTGTGTGTGTATCTATGTGTGTGTTAGTGTATTTATGTGTGTCTCTGTGTGTGTATCAACGTGTGTGTCAGTGTGTGTATCTGTGTGTGAGTGTGTGTATCTATGTGTGTGTCAGTGTATTTATGTGTCTCTATGTGTTTATCTACGTGTGTGTTAGTGTATTTATGTGTGTCCCTGTGTGTGTATTTCAATTTGTGTATGTCACTATATGGAAATATAGCGATAGACTTGAAAAAACCCTATTCATTGATATAGATGGTTAATGAGGAACCTAGGCTAACTGGGGATGAAGAGACACGTGTTAAGGTTTGAGCATTGAGGTGCCCTACTGAAACCACACAGCCAGGTTTCTATCCCAGTCATAGTCATAGTTTAGTATAGATGCCCTTTACACTCTGCTTCAATAAATCTAATATGTCTTCTATAAGCATTGTTTTATAGGAGTTATAAAGCAATCCCTTCTCTACTTCCTATGTTTAACTTGTTAAGTAACACTTTTTATGTCTGAATCAGTGCGGATTTAGTTTTATTTTCGACATATTAACACTTGGGAGCACAAGTATGAAACAAAATCTAAAAGTTCACATATTTGTTTCAATGAAATGGTTCTCTTCTTTGGTTCTCTC